TTCAAGAATTTTTTTTAGTGTAGCTAGTTAGATGATTATCATTATATCACTGATTACGTCCGCATCAATGATCTAAACTAAACTAAATTAGTGAAATTCTCACATGTATCCAAATATCAATTTAAAGTAGTTACTCTTTTTTGTCCAAATCAAAAGATCCAAAAAGAAAAAACCAACAAAATAATTATTATAATTAAAAAAAAAGAAAAAAAGAAAATGCCCCATGTTCTGAAAAAACAGTACAAAAATCCAATAATAAAAGTTAATTGAATCCGTGAACCTCCTCACAATAAAAAGCCAAAATACAATTGATAGAAAAACATGTGAATGTTGGCAAATTTTGAATCACAAACAAAATACTTTTTTGCCTTATGTCTTTTTGGTTTTATTTGTATATTGTTTGGAAAATATTAATCACTAGATGACAAAATTACACCCATTACTTTTTTGTCTATTGAGTATTGATGGATCTTTTTAAAGATTAAATTATTAAATTATATTTTTAGTCCTTAGGTTTTAGTTATAGTCCTTCTTTTTCTTTTTCTTTTTCTTTTTCTCTTTTTTGAAGATAGTAACTGTCTTTCTATTTTTTACAGATTTGTTTATTATTTTTATACTTTGGTTTGATATATCTCTATTATGGGTGAAAACGACATAATTGTTTAAAAAAAAAAACATAAATCTAACTTGACAAATGCATAAATTTAATAGACGTTATTGTTATTATTATTTTTCAAATATAACATGGATGAGGATTTGACCTCGTTACTTTTTTATTAGAGATAGACCTTAACCAGCCGTGTTATGTTTAGGTTGACAAATTAATGGATATTATTGATTACATGGTAAAAATATGATTATTTTTAGCCCTCTATCTATTTTTCAATCAAAATAATGCTTTGAATTGGTCAAACTTCCTACGTCACTGAAATAAAATACCATGTCTCGCAGCATATTTCTTACTAGGTCAAGTTATATTTCTATTATTTCTCGCTAATAATAGCGTTTAGGTAAACTTTTTATTGGTGCATTGAAGCTTAAAAAATATAGAAACTTAAAAGAGGACTAAAATTGTTGTATTACTTTTTTAAATATATATATATATATATATATATATATATATATATATATATATATATATCTCCTAAAAATACATTATTTTCCCTAAGAAAATTAAAATAATAAAAGCATGTCTTATCTCTTCATCAATAGTCAAATGCTAAAATATTTTTGTATTATTAGAAATAATAATTGAATTAGATGGTGATTGATTGAAGTCCATCCCACACCCTTAATTAAATGAGAGAAAAAAAAAAGAGAGAGAAGAATTTAAGAGTCAAACCCAAAAGGTTGACTTAGAAGTATTTTCCATTTTTTTCATTAGTGTAAAGAAAAGTGAGATGCTTTTTGCATAGAAACAAAGCCCTCTTTCACATTAATCATATTATATTATTATTCCTCCAAAAAATAATAATAATTATTATTATTATATTGTGAGCTTGATTAATGATTTTTCAATGAAAATTAGAGTTTGCTCTCTTTATAGTAGAAAACACATGATTTGAAGAAAAATATATATATTAAAAAACATATCCTAAACAAAACCTCCATCAAACACATACTTAAAATTCAATTAAAAATTTTTCTCAATTTTAGAAGTTATGCATTTAAACTTTAAAAGAAGATCAATTACGTTTCTATTCGATCATTTCTTTCTTTTAAATTCACAACAAATGTGGGGTGGAGATCGATATCTCAACTTTAGAAAAATAATAGATGCTTTATTTAGTCATTATTATCAATAAATTAACAAAACATTTACCCGACACATTCATTAATTTATTTTATTTACTAATTACTAGTATGATATGACATCTCTAAGTTTTAGATTATAATTTTATTTAATCATTGTTGCTAATATCATTAACAAAATATCACAATGACATACTGTTCCTCTGTTTTTAATTAACTAATCTGGTGACAAATAGCTAAACAAAGTAACTCAGTCATCAAATAATCAGAACTCTTCCATCCTAGTTTTTTTAAAAAAAATGCAATCTTCAAGTTTTGAATAATTTTAAGGAGTGAGAGAGAACAAAATTATCCATTCTTATAGCCAAACAAGTTAAAAAGTACTCAAAATCATATGCAATTTATTTCATTAGTTTCATTAGTCACCACACAAATAATTCAATACACTAACTTAGTTGCTTTTGGTTCAACCAATCCAATCCTCTCTCTCTCTCTCTCTCCTTGATTGGTGGGGAAAAATGCATATTTCAACAACAAAAAAAAAAAAAAAGCCTTGGGTCTCACTCTTTCATAAATTTGATACATCACTATACACTATATTGAAGGGAATATAATATGACCATTTGGCTTTAATTTGTTTGTATACCCCACATATACTCTCACATCTTTAATCCTTTCGTCACTATCAAGCTTCAACCAACATCCACCGCGTTCTACTAGTTTAAACTAATGTATATTTGTCAAAAGAAAAAAAAAAGTTTCACCTACATCATCTACTTTTTGACAACTTAGTTGAAAAAGTGCAACTGGTTCAAGTTATTATAATAAATATTGTTGTTATAGGAAGAAAATGGAGATCGGATTAAACAACCGGAAAGGAGAAATGAAGTCGAAGAAGAAGCGGACCTACGAAGCAAGGTAAGTGGGTCGGGATCCGGCAATCCGGGACGTCGAGTGATGCTCGGTGCCGATCAGACTTTGGCGCACAGCCCGATCCGAGTTGGCTTGGTTTAGGTCTTGAATGCAGCATGAGGTCCACTCTGTCTAGATCTCCTAAATACCCTACTCTTTACTACGTTACTCTTTGCTAAGCTTAAATACTCTACTCTCCATACTAGACTAGTCTGATTCTGACTTAAGCATCGGAGCCTGTGTGGCAAGAGTCACATCGGTCTTTAGTGTTATTCTGTTTTGCAAGTCTCATCGATCCCTTATATTCTGTTTTTCAAAATTGACAAAGTTTAATTCACGTAAAGAAATAAATATTGAATTTGTAAGGAAAAAAAATAGTTTTGGTCCTACAGTCTGCTATTGTTTCTAATTCTTTTTTTCAAAGAAGAAGTATAATTTTGGATTAGTTTGTATGTGTTAATTGTGTTTTGTTTAATGAAAGCTGGGAGGATAACATAAATTAAGTTAACTTAGTGAATAACCGACCTTAGATATAATAAAAATGTTGAATAAAAGTACATTTTTTAATTGTGATTTAATTAAGAAAAATAAAATTCATTTAATCGAGAGCCGGCTTTTTCGTATTATAAAAATGAAGTTAAATAATACTTTTTTCTCTTTCTAAAGACATGCTATATACAAGTGCTTTTTTTTAATACTTAAAAAATAAAAAAAGAGGAGTCGAATACAAAATAGTCAAAAAACCAGAAATTAAAAGTATAATACAACGATTTTTCAAATAAACGCTTTTTCTTTTTCTTTTTTCTTTTTCATTTGACCCAAAAAAAAATGTTTTAAGTAAAACATTTGAATAATTAATGGTTAACCTAACATATTTTTGCGATAATAAAGAACTAAAATAGAGGGTGAATAACTAAAAATATTAAAATGTATTTTGTTGGCTTGCCCTTGGAATTTTATTTATTTTTTATTTTTTTTAATTAGCCCACTCCAATTTATTATATTTAATTGTCTTACTCCTCGTCTAACTCATTGGCACATCTTGTGAAATTTGATATTCATTATTAACCATGTCTGATAACATTTAAAAATAATGTGTGGTCCCTAAAATATGATAATATATTAATTATATTCTTCTCTCTGAAAATCAAATTTATGAAACGACGGGAATCATTTTTACCATCAAAAGCAGATCTCAAATGCTCAATCAAAATGTGATTGGATCTGTGCGTACCTCGAAAAGCTGGCAAGAGGTGAAGCTCTGCAAAATAAGGATACAGCTATCGGCTCAAATGAGGAGGAGTACTGAAGATGGAAGCACATGGATGATGCCATCGTAGAGATGGGTTAAGATAAATCTTGATGTTGCCTGTCGCCCTTTCCTTCACAGAACAGAAGTGGGGATCATGCGTCGGAATGAAAATGGGGAGGTAGTAGTTACGATCAAGATAGTGATCCCGATTGCTTTTTAGCCTCTCAGTGTAGAAATTTAAGCAATTTTGGAAGGGATTCGTCTAACTATTCACATGAATTTTCACTCTCTCTCTTTGTGCAATTGATCTGATTGTTGGAGAGACCAAAATCCTCATTGAAGATGATACGAGCATTCATGATATTCATGTGCTCTCCTCATTTGGCAAGGTTTCCTCTGAACATATTCTCATATAAGCAAATTTTGTAGCTTGTATAATGGTCTTCGTATGTATCGACGCTTTTGGTTTTCTCACATCCCCATTTAGCTTATCTAAGAAGTCTATAGAGATTTTAGTTCCCATATAGCCTACGTGACAACTCCTTGTTCTTAATGAAGTTTCCTTTTATCTCAAAAAGAAATATATATATTAATTAATTTTTTTGAAAAGATATATTAATTAAATTAGATATTAGAAAAATAGTAGATTCTCTCTCCATTGAATAACACCAAGTTTATTTACTCCAAATCTAAAGCTTAATTTGTAACTTAACCAAAATTAAACTGCTTAATTTATGAATTTAGTCCATATCATTTAGACCCAATTTCAATTCGGTTTTATGATTTTTATAATTTTAACTTATTTTCAATTTTGAATAAACTTTACCGAATCATCTATAAACTATTTTTCTCTATATCTAAAACCTACTCATTTTTTCTTGTTTTTTTTTTCCCTCTCAACACTACATCATAGTCAATCCCCACAAAAATGAGATTTGACTAAATCAAACGGCAACTTTTGAAATTCTACCTAACATAGGAACCAAATTAAAATTAAGAGAAAGTATAAGGACTAAACTTGCAATTCCAAAAGAAAAAAAAAAGTCATTTATTTACATTGCTTTCGTGTTTATATATATGTATATATGGTTGAATCTGTGTCTCCCAAATGTATAATTCAGAGCGAGAGAGAAGAAGTACAGTGGAAATCATTTGAGCAGAGTAGAGCCATGGCAGCCATGGATTGGTTCTCTTGGCTTTCGAAAACAACCCTAGATCCTTCACTGGTGTACGAGTACGGCCTCGCCTTCGCCCACAACGAGCTCGAGGAAGACGACATCGTCTACTTCAACCACGAATTTCTCCAGAGCATGGGAATCTCCATAGCCAAGCACCGTCTCGAGATCCTCAAGCTCGCTCGCAAGGAGAACGCCCTCCATCCGCGCCCGGTCACTCGTCTTCTGCTCGCAATCAAGAGGACCAAGCGCTGTTTCTCCAATCTGATTCGGAATTTCTCTCACGCTCACCGCCGCGCCGACGACAGCAAAGCCCTAGTCGTCGTCCCCAAATCCACCTACGCCGGGAAATTGCTGAAGAGGAACAAGAAATTGATCATTGCCAAACAGCAGGGGAGCTTGCTGCTCACCAACGGATCGAGTCCGGCGCCGGCGCCGCCGCGAGCAGATAGCTTTTCCGGCCCGATCGTGTACAATCTGCGGAGGGAGGAGGAGGAGGATGGATATTGGGGAAATGGCGTGGAGGAGATCAGGTGGGATACAATGTTCCAGAATTTGAAACCTACTTGAAAATTTTGTTTGTTCTTTGTGAAAATTCTTGTGTGTTAACAATTTCTGAGTTAGATTGGTTTTGATTTTGATGGTGAGAGATAGGTTTTTGTGTTCTTCCACCAATAGATAGATCATAGAGATAGATATCAAGGCTGTGATTGGGAATTGGGAGTGCCTTTTTTCTTTTTCCTCTTTTTTGACTCTTTTTTGTTTAGTGGTGGGTGTAGCAGAAGACAAAGTTTAGGAAGTGAGAATGATGTTGTCTTGTGTTTTTAGGGCATGCCAGATTTGAGATTTGTTTAGAATGATCATAATCATAATCTCTGCCAAACCCAGCTTTTGTTCTTGTGGTTTGAGGTCTGTAATGTAATATCAGTATGTTCTTTGCAGTTCCTTCTTCTTTTTCTTTCTTCTCTCTCACACAACTAAGAAAGAAAGTTTGATGGATTTTCGAATCAGTATGAGTCGAGTTTTATTTTATTTTTTTAAGTATGACAAGTGAATGTAAGGGATTCTAGATTAAGTCAAGTTTCATCCTCCTATTGTTAGTTAAAATATTATTTCTTGATTTAATTTTCTTCATCATTTTCAAATATCTTGGTCCATTCTTCTTCATTTATTTGTATCACATTAATTCTAAGAGTTTCCATGGCATATAATATTTTTATTAAAATTTTCTAAACAGAAATTCATAGGATCATTTTTTAAAATAAACAAAAATTGAAAATAAGATATTAAAATGAACTAAAATAAATAACTACAAACTAAAATAATATTCAAACTTTAATTATTAAAAAACAAAAAAGATCACTTTTACAATAATAAACTCGACACATTAAAATGGGAAAGGGAAGTATATGTTTTCTTTTTTTCTTTAGTCATTTATCTGTCACACCACATACACGTCATATAATAGGGATGTAGACTTCAATTTGTCTACCATTCAAATTTTAAAACTGAAGTTTATTCCATTTTTTTTTTCTTATTTTTTATTTTTAGATAATTATTTATGTTTTTCATTTTAAAAAAATTTCCTAAAATTATATATAAATTTTGAAAACACCAAAATATAATTTCTCATTTCTTACCCTTATTTCCAAATTTTCAAACGTTTTTATCATTTTTATTTATAACATACATACATAATATGTATTAAAAGTTGATTTTGGTGTGTATAATGTCATACATTTTTCAAACATCTTTATCATTTTTATTTATAACATACATAATATGTATTAAAAGTTTATTTTGGTGAGTATAATGTCATATGTGGAGTGGAGATCTGAACTCAAAATTTTTTTCTCAAAAATATTTTATGTTTTAAAAGTTGATTTTTGTGAGTATAATATCACATGTTGAGCGGAGATCCGAACTCAAAATCTTTTTCTCAAAAATATTTAATTGTATCAGTAAGAAATATATAACTTACAATTAAACAGGTTCAGCATATGCATTAAAAAGTTTTGATAAACATAATTTTTAAAATACTTTGTTTCCAACCTTCATTTTCATGCAAAACTTTTTTCTTTTAAATACTCTGTACTTAAAAAAAATGTAAATATATTTATTTTTCTTCTTTAAAGAAACAATAAATTAGCAACTAGAACATAACCAAACACAAGTTATAGACACCATTCTACTAAACTTAGATCTTATATGAGCCAAAGTTCATTCAATATTGCATTTTCATATATTGATAATCTTTTTCTTTTTAGTTGCATAAAACAACATTATGATGTATATTGTACACCAAGGTGATTAATGCACAAAGACTTGACATTTAAAAGAAGGCTAATACACACATCTCCCACATTTAACTCAGCAAAATACAAGTTAAACCCTCAAGTCACACCCATTACCAAAATTTATCACTTCTGAGTAAAGATATGCAGCAAAAACAACCTGCAGATCCTGAAACTTTTACTAAAACCCTTGCCTCTACAAATCTTCGGATCAATGACCTGAACTCTGAGGCAAGCGGAAGGAGCCACTGGCGTATAGCATTTGATACACGGGTCGTAATCGAATGGTCAAAATCAAGCTGAAGATTGAACCTAACCCTGCAACGCCTGAAAGAATGAAGAAAGTGATCCTGAAGCACTGGTGGCCTATGCAGGTTATCGAACCTTGCTTAGCAGCTTCGTTGTCGTATAGAGTACTGGCGAGCAGAACCGAGAAAAGGACTGCTCCGATTGGATTGCCCAGCTGCATGAAGTTGAAGATCACTCCGAAATTCTTTAGGCCGAAAATCTCTGATGCGAGAGGGACCATCATGGAATATAGAACTCCATAGCTGATTCCGGTGAGAGCAGTGGCGACATAGAGAGTTATTGTGAGGGCGGATGCATACAGGAGGAATGCTATAGCCATGAGTATTAGAGCAAACATCATCCACAGCGAGCGAGGTATCATTCTCGACCTGCAACGAACAGCGAAATCCAGAACCAATGCATCAGCTACAGAAACTTCATGAGTAAACACTTGATATATAGAACAGAAAATGAAAGTAATTTGCAAAATTCCCAAGTTAAAGTCAAGCAGAATGTGCACTGAAAACCAGAAAGGAAAGGGCGTTATGCTTCCTAAAAGTCGAAACAATTTATTATTTCAGTACTCTGGTTTAGTGTTAGCATTTACCTGACAAAGTGCTCGGAAATGATACCGGAGCCTAGACGACCAGCGAAATTGCAGAAGCTGAAAAGAGCCAACAGTAGTGTTGTGTCGTTAACACCTAATGAAATCCCGATTTGAGACAGATTGTTGAGAACGGTTATTCCAGGACCAACCCCAAGGAAGTACAAGAACCAAAGCAGCCAAAAATCAGCTTTGATTACGGCTTCACGGAGCTTGAAATCTTCCCCTCTTTTAGGTCTTCTCTTCTTCTTACGAATCGCCCCCTCTCCCACAGCAAGAAGTGTTTCTACATCTGATGCATCTGCATCATCATTCTCATTAAAACTTCCAAGATTTGTAGCCGAGGAAGATGGTGTCAACAAAGGTTCTATTTGGGAAGAATCGCTTTCTCCGGAAGCCAAAGGTTCTGCAGAGTCAACTCGAGGACCGAGTTTTTTTGTCTTTGCAGAAAAAATGGTCATTTTTATGGGAATTGCAAGAGGAGACATTAGAAGAACAACCATTATGGCAACTAAGGTGTATGCAACAGCCTCACTAGGGGACGTCGTTGCATCTATAATCGTGGTCGTGACTAGAAAAACAGCTAGCAGTACACAAGCAACTTGCGTGAAAAGAAAATGAGCACTCTCGGACGGATCCTCTGTAGAAGCCGGAGTACAAGGTCGAACAAAGTACATCATGGCTAAGCACAAAATAGGTATCCCGATTGCAAGAAACAACAGTAAATCCAAAGCAGACTTTTTAAGCACCATGCTGTATATCACCGTGTATACGGCAGCACTAAGCCCGACATAACCTTTAAGGATGCCAGCGACAGTACCCCTACTGAGAGGGAAGTTCCTCATGTTTGTTACGAGCACAGCCGTTCCGAACCATGCATTGCTATTTGTGGCAATACAATGTGTGATCCATAGCTGCCATGACACTCAAAAGTAAACGATTAAAGTAAATGAGCCAGAATCAATAACTTCCAAAACGAGAAAAGAACAAAGTGGACAACGAGTAATTCAAGTTGCTAAAAAATCTGACCCTCAACTGATTCAACAATCAATCATCCAACTTCTCTTATGTGTGAACTGATAAGATGACAAACTTCAACCATGAACAAATAATACATGATAATGTGAATGTTGTTAACAATTCGACTTCATTTACATTTCTGAAAGGTCATTTTTTACCCCAAAAAGAATCAAAAGGGACAGTTTTTGTTTCTTGAAAATGTGTGAGCCAGAGAGTTCATCCTCCACCCAGATCCATCCAAAAAACAGTAGGCACATTATCAAGATTTTGGAACTCATGCGCCATGTAAGTTCAATACTGCACTAATGATCTCGGGTTACTAGCGAAAGACACTGCAATGCTACAATGTGGACTAGCCAACAACCCTGTATACCAAAAGAACAACTCTTTGACTAGAAATCTACTCGAGTCTCGAAGTAGGATGGGTATATTTTGTATTCATTTTTTTGAAAAAATTATCAAGGAAATGGGAATGGGGATTTAACACTATTGAAGATCACAAATAAAAGAAACATCATACTTCTTGTCAAGAGACGAATAAAACAAACAAACAGGCAAGTGTTAAGAGGTTTGCTGTTTGTTCCACTCACCAGGCACACCATAAAAACAAAAGCTAAAATTCTTTGGTTAAAATGCTTGTTGGCTATCGTATGGGAACAATGAATTTAAGGAAAATAGGAGGATGTTCCAAGATTAGAGTAAATTGGGAGGAATCTACAAACACAAACACTCTACTTTTTAGTTCTTCTTATTGCTGAGTTCTATTATTTTATTATTTAGGTGGCTTCTGGGTATTCCTTATCTACCCATTTTGTGATTAATAGAAGATGAACAAAGGATTTGACCATACAAGGCAATAAAAATTCTCGATTGAGAATCTACGTAACCAAATTTTCCCGTTCGAAAGAGGATCTCTCTTTTTCTTCATTCTCAACCAGTTCTTAAGTAAAGATATGTCCCCGGCCCCTATTATGTTAACATTTTTAATCTCATCCAATGGTTGGTAGAATCGTCTGAAGCTTCAACTAGCTCATTCCCTTGACAACATGGGCTCGGAGTATTACCCGCAACGACTACAACTGATTCATCTTGAACTTGGAATTGGCCAGATTCTTAAAAAAAAAAAAAAGATATGTCTCCATAAAGTGCAGGTCATTGAGTTGGTCTGCCCTTGAAAGTCTCTCTGCATTCTGGGAGCTGAGCATGCAACATGAGCAACTCCAAACAATTTCAATAGAGGAAATTTTGGAAATACAGAGGGGGATTCATCTTATCAATCTACTAATCACTAATCACTAAGCAGCTTCGATCCAAGATCTCATAAAAACCAATAGAAAACTAACTCCATTAACAGAGAAACATCAAGACTAAGATCTTAGGCTATCTAATAAAAAAAAAAGCAACTCTATAAATAAAACAGTACCATTCATCAAGATCAGCAAAGAAACCCATCAGACAACAAAAACACCATCAAGTTCTTCAAAATCAGAAGCCAGTACAACAACCTGAGAAGGAAAGAAAGATCTACAAAGAGGGAAAAAGGAAGAAACATGAGATTCACCAGCCAATAAGGCAGATTGGGGACAGTCCTGCTAACAGCAAGCCAAATAGCCCCATAACCCACAAAGCAGCACACAGCACCAACCAAAAGCACTGCCCATGGAGGAAATATGTTGCAGGCCAGACCAGGGAGCAACCCCACGCTCTCCCCAATGTCATTCGCCACTCCCAGAATCGTCAGCTGCTGCTGATTCAAACCCAGAACATATTTAAGCGCGTGTGAGTAGAGGGCGAAGTTGTAGGAAGACCCAGCAGCAATTTGAACCCAAACAGCAGCTCCCAAGCCCACCCATGGCGGCCTACTCCCCCCTTTCAAAACCAGCTTCGGCATCCCCGATTCAGATTACACGATTGCTCTCCCCTCGACACAGAGGAGAAATCGCCAAGGGTTTATAAAGGGGACACAGAAATGAAACACAGACAAGAAACCGAGGGATTAATGGGAAATAATGGGGAATTGGGCGATTGCGTGAGGCAGTGAGAGGGTTAATTTTGTGTCGAATTTAAAGAAAAAGGGTCTAAAAGGGTCCAAGCCCGTGGCCCCCTGCACAAAACACGTAATACGAGGAACCCAAAATTTGTTTTTCTAAGAACACTTGAAAGTTCAAAACTTTTGTCTGAACTCTGAATCTGGTGCGAGATGTCCTCATACTTGTCGATTGATCCTTCTTTTGCACAAGTTACGAACTTGAATCAACGGTGGTGGTGGGGTGCGATTTAAAAATACCCATATGATTTGTCCAGGTGAACGGAGCTAGAGTGTTGAATTATTAATGATTTTTAATGGTGATGTAAACTAGTTCCTACTTAATTATTTCCTCTTACTTGTTACGTTTTAGTTCAAGGAATTCAAACTTTGACCTTTCTTGAAGATGTTTATTATTATTTTTTTACTTCAACAAACACAAGGTCATGAGCTCCATCGAACTCGAGATAACATAATAAGTGTTTATTTAAATGGATTCTACAGATTATTTGTATCTTAATTAAAATTAATCACTATATTTAAAAATTTTAAAAGATTTCTTAAATGCATATTTAAATGGCAATTATGTGTGGTAGTTGTCATTAGTACTACATACTAAATCTCGTACCCATCGAGCAAGCTCGAGCTAATTTGACAAAATGTAATAGAAAAAGAAACAAATGGTAGAAGAGAGTTGATGAAAGTCATAACTCGGGAATATGTACAATATAATATTTATAAAAAAAAATAACAAATCTCTTTTACGAGGCTACACCACTCAATTTTCCTTAGTTATTCATTTTATTTTATCTTATATCTATCGTGTCAAATGAGCTAAACACATCGTTTATATGTTATATCACTAAGTTAACTTCTTAGGAAATTAACTTCTAGATAGGTGGTCATCATGGGATCTCAACTTATTCTTCTAATTCAACAATATTTGACGGTAGAAATTCGAACTTTCTACTTTTTGATCGATAATATATGTCATAAAGCTGTGTTTTTTAATACTACTTTAGTTGGTATTGTTAACGGCAATTTAATTGGAGTGGTAGATTTAAATCTCACTCCAAACCCTACCACATAGTTGTAAAGTCATTGTCCATTCTCATTCTCAATAATCACTCAATAATCATTAAAGATGGTGATCGATAATTACTAAGAAATGAACAAAACATCTTAGTCCAAGTTTTTCAAATATCTAGATACCCTAAAATTTAGATCCCTCTTAAAATTGTTCTTGTAAAAAAAAAAAAAGTTACCATGTACTATTGACATGCAATTAGTCCTAGGTGATGTTAGATTAATCGAACTTGATGAAAAAATAAATAAATCCCAATTTATTTGAGGTGGGGGTGGAGACAGAAAATCAAATTTTGTTTTATTTTATTTTATTTTATTTTATCATGGGTCATGACTCCAATTTCTCAGGTGTTCATATATGATTTTGGGGACATTTTAAAGCCTCCTTCAACTTGCACTTTTGCCTACGGTCTAATCTTCACTCATGTATTTAAATTAATGGTTAAAAATGCTTTTTATCCTTATATTTTAATCGAAATAATAATTTAGTTTGGAACTTTAGTTTGTAACGATTTAATTCTTAGTCTATGTAATTTAAAAATGTAAGAATTTAGTTCCTCTTATTAAACTTTTCACCAAAATTAAGCGTAGCTTTCTATTAAGTAATAATTTAGACGGTGTAGTTTATAAACACATTTTTATCAATCTACATTATAAATAACTCTATTAAATTTTAACTATATTTTTCATGATAAGGATTAAATTGTTGCAAAGGATCAAATTTTTACATACTGAAGTTCAATATTAAAAGTACATGTATCAAATTGTTACAAATTAAAGTTTAGAGACTAAATTGGAAATACAAAGACAACTGTAATTTTTAACATAAATTAAAATACTAAAAAGTAAAACAAAAATGAAAAACTATAACGCAGCCAAATGTTACGATGAAGTCCATCAATTATCACCTCGATTCGCCGTGGTCTGTCCAACAACATCGAGGCGACGAATCTTGACGATCCTTGTCCTACGACGGTGAAATATTGAAATCTATTAACTCGACCACCTAAGCGTGATTGATGTCTCAGATACAAATATGATTGGGTAGCTCGTCTTGAAACAAACATTGAAATCTATTGACTTGAATGCTCTTGTAACCCATCTCGAGAGTACTAGACTTAATTTTCATGCAACAATACACCTAATTTAGTGTAATGTTTCCTAAAGAAATTTGGAGGCTTGCCTTATTAGAACGAATCTTTCTTTCCTCTCTGGTTTGATTTGTATGTATAATATGTCCGAGTAGGTTGGTGATATAAAAATACAAAATCTACTGATATTGTCCACTAACCGAAAATATTGTACCATTATTTTGTTTTTTTTATATATTTTCCTTAATTGCTTCTGATTTTATTCTGGTTGCAGGATTTGAATTTCGAAATACTTTTCTTGGATTATTTCGAATCCTTTCAAAATTAGCAATTTTGCTTAAAAGCAAAATATAAATATTATTTTTGCAACTTCTTTTACATTGATGACACAATCACACAACAAATAAATTTTATAATTATTCAAGCACGCCTATTATATTTGTAAATTATTTTTAAAAATTTGAATATTTCAATTTAGTTTATTAATAAAAGTTAAAAAGAATCCTTCCAACAAAAGTTTTGAAAATTTGTTTTTTCAACTGTAAAATGTTCTCTTTTGATTTTTTTTTTTCTTTTTTACTCACAGTAAATCTTCTCAAATTGGCATCACCAATAAGACTATGTATGTAAATTCTTTTAGAAACTATATATGTAGATATTCTGGTTACTCCTAAACATTTTTGTAAATATTTCAAGCAAATGGTGTGAAAAACCCCTAAAATCTAACTTTGAATCAAATCAATAAATTCGGATACATAAACTTTGAATCAAATTAAAAAATACGGATATACAAACTTTGAATCATACAAATACGAGTTCATAAGTACAGAATTGATCACATTTCAAGCCTATAAAAAAATCTGAAAATAAAAACCTACAAAAGAAAAAAAATACACGATCAAGAATATTCAGCACAACCAAAAAGGAAATCTAAAACTAAGAACCTTCAAAACCAAACCAAAATTCAGCCCAATTCTAATCATCATTGATCCGCGCCTTGACATTTTCACTTGATGGAGTCGCTGTCGTGCACACGGCAGAAGATGTCGAGATTGTTCTACAAAACTTTTCAAACGAAGGGAGTAAAACAGATGACTCTGCTAATTTATTATTCTAGATCACTTCCTCGAACTAATGTTCATACAGAGTATATATTTCTCAAATTTGTCTAGTCATGTACCTGTCCACGATACCCGAATTTTCTTACTAATAAGTTTTTAGATCAGCAATGAACCTGTATTGAATAGTCGTCGCCATGAGCAAGAAAACCAGTTAACAATGAATGTACTTTAGAGTTGGAAACTTTTCGCTAGTCCTCCTCTGCTCTTGACATGACGGATAACCGGCTAGGCCTAGGCTGAAATGCTAATTGCCGCCGCTGCTGGTTTGAAGAAGGCCTAATCAAAGCCGATAAAGCTCTTCTCACTAGGTCACCACCTTCCACAACTCCAATTCTCACAAGCGAGTTCGTCATTGCCGATCTCCGGAAATTCAACGTGCTGCTCGATCCGAACGCTCCGTTTTGGAACTGGCGGCGATTCGCGGCACCAACAGAGAACGTCGAATTCTTGTGAAGAGAACACCGGAACGAGCCTGGATGCGTCGTCGGAGAACACATGCACACTTTCTTCTTATTCGACGACACCGCATTCGCATTTTCCCTCGCCTTCTGAACCGAAATCGAACGGCCGGGCGACGTCGACGAACCCCGATCAATCTGAAACCTCACAGACGCCGCCGCCGCCGACGACGACGACGACAGCGAAGACGAAGATTTTCCATTCATCGCAACACGATTCGGAGATGATGATCGAAAAGTCGACGAGCGGGCGGAAAAAGTCGAACTCGACGAGGCGAAAGGCGACGGAGAAGAACGGTAGTATCCTCCCGACGCCGATCGTCTAGATTCGACTCCGGACGACGAAGCCATGGATTTTCCGGCAGTGGAATTGGGAGAGTCGGAGAAGAGGGAAATATTTCGGGAGGCGCAAAATTTTCGCTGGTCAGTGCGGCAAATTGGCAAAATGAAGAGCTGAAGGGATATTTATAGGGGAGGCGATGGCAGGGGTGTAATTATGTGAAAATTTAAGGTTAGTTAAAGAATTATTTGTAGTAAACCAGGAAACCTAAAGTAAAGCGGTCATTGGTTGCGTGAGATTATAAACAGGTCGGGTTTAAGTAGTGGGTTTAAGAGCCGTGGGCCTGGGCTGAAATTACAAAATATTCCCACGCGCCTTCCAGGATGTGCGGTACACGCGTTTAAAGTTTAAATTTCAAGGGAGTCTTTTATTTTTTTAATTATTTAAAAGGACATCAGTGATGGTACATTTATTTCCATTTTTAATGAATTGAGTGTTGATGCAAAACTTTTGGTCTTCGAGATTTCATTAAATTCGTAATTAGCATTCCAAACAACCACACCGACGTGGTACTAATTTCATACACTTTTATGTGATAATAGTAGAATTTTGTAGCGATTCCAATTATTAGTTCTTTCATCTATTTATAGAAAGAAAAACTTAAAGTCAATAGGATAATATCTCCTAGATCTAGAAAAAATGGAAGAATATCATATATCTTCTTATTCCGAATTTAAATGGAAATTCAAATTGCTAACCATGATACTGAGTTTAAATCGAAAATATATACAAATTTTGTGGTGCTATATTATGCTCTATAAAAATAATATAAAATAATCCCTACTTGGTCATTGATTTTTTATGGACTATTTTGTCGATCTCCAACCCATCAGATTTTTTTAATTAATTATTTATTATATATGAGTATAAACTTTAAACAAATATTTAGACATGAAATTTAATAAATATTGGTGCGATGTTTATGTTTCGGGACTAATTTCGATGTTTATGTTTTGGGACTAATTTGAGTCGCAAAATGTAAAGTTTAGGACTTGTACATTTTTTCCTTTAAAAAAAGGAGCACTCGTACATCTTTTAATGATTTAGGAAGGAGAAATTTTTCTTTCTATTTTTTCTTTTTAATTTAAATACTTTCATATTTATTTTGGAGATAATTTTGTCAWTCAATATAAAATTTTCTCYCGTGTGCTTTCATTATCTTTCTCTCCCACTCCACTTCCCCCATTATTTTCTTTTTTACTTTTCATTTCTTTCAAAATATTTTATCTTCGTCCTTACGGATTCAAATTTTCTCAAATTAATTTTCCAAAACAAAAAAACTCTCCATTTCAAAAGTTAGAATAAAAGTTAAAATATATATAATTTTGTCTCTTTATTTATATGAATTAATAAAAAAGTTATAACTTATTTTTAATTATAATTAATAAAAAAATTTCAAAAGTTTTATAACTTTTTATTTTCCACAGCTATGTAAAGAGTTTTTTCTTACTATTTCTCCCAACTTTTTGACTCTTACTATTTCTCCCAACTTTTTATTCAAAACTTGAGCTCTCTTCCGGTATATTTTTATTCTTTAGTCAATGTCTTGTGTTTTCTTATATTTTAGTGAGACTATTTGATTGAACATTCAGCCTTTTTTTTTATTTTTCAATGCAGCGTTAATAATTATTATTTTAAAGAATACTTAGTTATCTACAATATATAATTGAGACATTGATTTTATAAAATAAATATGAAAAATACAAAATAAAATTAAAAACTTGGTTAGGTAAAGATCGAGGGATAAAGAAGTGAAATTATATTAAATTTTTTAACTATTTAGTTAATTGGTTATATTTTTTAACATTAAAATAAAAACCAGTAAATTTCATATACACTGCGTGTGTTTCTTAGCAGCAAAAATTAAAAGGGAATTTCAGTGATTTAACTGTTTGAAATATGAACATGCTCCCTGCAGAATTAAATTGAGAGCAAAGCAATTCCTGAGAAATCGCTTTCCAAATAAATCAGAAATTGCGTTTCCTTTCTAGTTTTCAATATTATTAAGAAATCTAAATATTCAATAATTATTTATGTTTCTTGGATCTATTTTTTAGAAATATTCTCAAAAGTATATAGAAATTTTAGAAACAATAAAAATAAGTTTCTTGTCTTATTCTTATTTCAAATTTGTTCGAAAATATAAATAAAAATATTATTTTATCATTATTGAATCTATGAATATTAGAGCCATGCAATTTTGTCTTTCTTTATTTGAAAGAAAAATAAATATTACTATAAATCATGGTTCTAAATATCCATCGACATTTCCATCGACTTGTCCATATTTTCGTAGGTTGACATTGATATGAGGGATAAATCGATATTTCTATGTACAAAAAAAATCGACAGAATATGAAAAATGTCAACAAAACGTCACTAATACATACATAATATTAATATTAATTATTTTTAACCTATTTAGAAATATTAAAATGTTTATTTGTTAATTTAAATATTTTTACGATTTTTTAATTTCTATAACTTTTATAGAAATATCAATCATCAATCGATATTTTATCACCTGAAAATCCTTCAGTAGTCTTCCCCTCAAACCGCCTTGGAATCCCGAGCAACCCCAGATAATAGCTCCAACTTTCTAGATCTCCTAGAATAGGCACTTAAACTTTTAATTCGATTTTTTTTAAGTACAACAAATGAGGATGACGGTTCAAACTCACGATGTCTTGAATGGAGATAGGTGTTCAAATCAATAGAGCTGATTTTATTTTTAAATCATAAAAAATGCCTGCCGGACTCGATCAATAACTTTAGTGACTAATGAGATTTTATTCAAAATCTTCATAGTTTAGATGAGAAAGATTTAATTGCTGTAACATTTTGGGCGACTTGGAATGATCATAATCACGTGATCCACAATCGGCCGATTCCATTCCACGTGCTCCTCAAGATGCTTCGATTTCATCTTCATGGTTTCCCCCTTTGTGCTTTTTATAAATTAACACTCATGCAGCTTGTGGTAACCAAGAAAGTGGTAGAGGTATGGGGCTCCTCTTGAGAGACTCCTCCAATCGTATGATGGTCACTCAGTCTCTTTTCCTGCCGGTTTCTTATATTCTAGAATTTTGTGCCATTCTTGAAGGGATTAGCCTTGTCCGATCTCTCAGATACTCACACATTATTGTTGAATCRGACTCCTTTGAAGCTATCAAACTTCTTTCGGGAAGATCGAACTCATTTGGTGATGGATGGAAGTGTCTGGGTTCATATGGCATAAAAATCCTTTCCCTCTTTTTCGACTCTATTCAATTCATCCATGCCTCTCGCCGGCACAACCGTCCAGCGAAACTGGATCTTTGTTTTCACTCCACCAATTCGTGGGTTTCTTCATTTCCTCTCACGCTTTGTCGACTTATAGAGACTCTTCTATCCATGTGGCTTTGAGTTCCTAATTAAATTAATCTCTTTTTTCAAAAATAAAAATATGTTACAAATAAAAATAGATTGAGGCAGGTAGACACTACATGGATTAATAAAATATAACAGACATTTTTATTAGGTTATTTTTCTAATAAAGGGGTAAACAAAAATTCAAGAATGCTTGGGATGAAGGGCGCGAAAACAACCAAACAGAGAGCAAAAAACTTGCAGAGCGATCAAGAAGAGAAGCCAAGCGGCCGCCATTAGAGCCAGCAAAGGCCACGAGCTATAAACATATTCATTCACAATTCTTCCCATTTTCACTCTCCATAATCCATCGTAATATTCATTCACTTCTTCGATCACCTTATCCAATGCCAAAACTCTGCTCAATCTGATCGATTTGCTCATCCCATTCCACATCGCTGCCGCCTCTTCGTCGCTCTTCAGATGGTTCAGAATCACCCCTCCTTCTCTCAGCAATCTCACGTCCTCCTCCGAATCCACGATCCCGTTCATCAATTCCGTGTACCGAGTGAAAACCAGCGGGCCCGATCCTCTCGACGCTTCGTACGCCACTAGATTTCTCAGCGTCACTTGTGTGTTCACGTCCAGCCTCGCCGTCGGAAGGTGGAGCGTTGCGGTTTTTGCGTCGAAGGTGATCGTTGAGATTCCGCCGGCGGAGGGTGAGAATCGGACTCCGGCTTTTGAGAGTTCCGAGACGGAAGGGATTGTTATTTCCTCGATCAATGGCGGTCTGTTCGCGTTGTGATTTGAGTTACGGTTTTTAGATTCTGTTTCTTTGGGGATTTCTTCATCTCGGAAGAAGAGAATCTCGGCCGGCTGTTTTAAGATTGCGAATGCGGGGATGGTGGAGAGGATCGTCCATGGTAGCCGCGCGACCGTCTTCACAGGTTGGGATTGGATCGCTTGTTTCGTGAAATGAATTAACGATTTGATTAATTTGGAGAGGTAATGCTTCAATCTGTGTGCGAATCGTTTTGTGGAACTTGAAATTTGGGGAGGTTGTTCGATTTCTTCGTGGATTTCGATTATTTCTGATGATTCTATCGATTTGGGCGTGGTCATTTGGTATAAAAAGTCCAGCAAATGAGCGCAATCTGAAATTTGAATCTCTGGAACGTCCTCCGTGAGATTACTGAAAGGAGAAACCTCTCTGAACAATCCGATTAACATGGAGAGCAAAATCTCATCGGCGATTTCCGACGATTCAGATTGAAATTCCATCATCTTCCTCAATACGAACAACGGGATCTGATTTTCTAGCATTATTATGTCTCCCAGAACGGCGTTATGCGCCGGCTTCGTCCCGGCGTAATCGACCAAATGCGACATTCTGGAGGACACTCGCCGGAGAATCTTCATTTTCCCCAGTTGGACGGCGCAGATATGAAGAAACTCGAGCAAGAAGGATGCGTCAATGGCCATCATCCAGGCCAAAGTTTCGCCATTAAAATCCAAGTAACTGTGATAAGACGCTCGAATCTTCTGCTCGAGCCTTGTCAGTTGTTCGACGAGATCGTGAAACTGGAGGTCTCTAGGGCTGAATCTTTTGGCTCTTTTTGCGGCAGAGAGCTTGAATCTCTCCATCTCATGGAGCTCCGGACGCCAACAATGGTAAGGACCCAAAGCGACCAACTGCGGAGTGTAGGAATCTGGATCGGACGCCATTAACGATCTGGGGACCTTGAAAATTGCTACCGGAATCCCATCGTCGTCCTCGAGTTCTTCATCGAGGGTCCGTCGGATTCGAACTACCCACCTGATCTCGTCGAAGTTGGATGAGGAAGAATTGGACGCCATTGTCGACTGCAGGTGAAGAGGAAGTGTTCTTCCATGATGGGTTTGGGTGGGTGAAGAAGAAGGTTTTTGTTTTCCCTTCTGGGTTGCGTTCTTCGTTTTCCGGCATTAATGTGGAGAGGGAGTTTGCAGAAGAAGAGTTTAATTAGAGAAAGTGCGAGCGTTTCTAACCATGTAAGTCTTAATCGTTTCTCCCGCTTCTTCTTTTAATTACTTTTCTGTGTTTTACCATCTGTTTAATTTATTTTTAATTGTCTCTTAATTAATTACATTTGATTTTTTTTTAATCTATCTCTTAGTAGGGTTTCTTCTCTTTTTGTTATATCTTAGAAATCTAATTCGAAATTTGTTTTTTTAGTCTATAATTCAAAGTCTACTTTAATTGAAGAAAATCCACATTCTTTTTTTTT